AAAAGTAATTGGTGAGTTTCTTTTTACACCTCAAAGTAAAAATTAAAATATTGAAATCGTAGCAGTTCGCACAATTTTTCTCAATTATTTTTTTTTGCTGAGAAAAATCCACGCATATAATTTTTCCCAACAAAGAAAATGTTATATTTAGCTGATTGATGAAGTACGTTGAAGAGCGAAAAAATAAAACAAAAATATTGAATTCGTATACCATTTGCGCTCGAATAAAAAAATTTTTTTTTGAAAAGAACAGTTTTAGCATTAAATTTTATACTGTTAGTATTTCGGACTCTGCAGACAAAAGAAAAAATTGCAAAAAAATATTCTCCTTTTTCGGAAAATATCAGATTTACTCTGCAATACGCTGAATTTTTAAAATATTGATCAAATTTTTCAGCTAAAATGGAATATAATGCTTGCCAGATGTCCATATGGAAACGATCCACATTAACATCATCCACTACAAATTGGAATTTTTCATTCCATTTTGGATTCAGTGTTTTTCGCTGCACTGATGATGCTTTGATTCGTTTCACCGGAATCATTCGTGCTTCATCCTTCTTCTTTTTGTTCGCTGTGTTCCGTCTAAATGATCCTCCAAAACGATGTAGCAAACCAGTGTACTGTCGTTGCTGCAAAAATTAGTTTTTCTGTACGAAACAAAAACACATCACCGACAAAAACGTTTGATTGTATGCATATACATATCTGCATGTGCAAATATGTATCTGTACTGCGTGTATTGTTTTTAGGTGTGTGCCTGTGTGATCAATGCCCATGATTTCGATGGAAAGCCTATGTGATTGATTTGAAAGAAAAGTCTGTGGCTATGAAAATGTGCGTAGTTTCTGTGTTGAATTATCCTAAACGGATTCACGTTCACAAACGTACAATTGCATGATTCTGTTTGATTGGCGCAAAACAGTATTAAAAAAGCAAACTTTTTCGATGGCAGCAGGCGATCTCGGCGGTATAGCACATTCAACATCTGAATTTGTCGTATCCTCGCTATCACTTTCCAGTGCTTGCTTACTTGCAGCTAAAGGGTCCGGAGAACTACCCTTTGGTCTTTTCCCTGGCACCACACCCATCATCGAAAACGGATCGCTGAAACCTGAAATTTCTCTCTTTTTTGTCATGGTAGATATGCGTTAATGGGTATTTTTCCAACCGCTCACTTTATGCTGAAGCTTTTTTTAGCTTGCTGTCGGACTACTGCACTGAATTAGTGTTTAAGACTGTCAACCCCAATTCGGGAAGAATGTTCGGGATAAAAGTTAGGGGATAAAAAAATGAATAAAAAGTTTCAAATTGACCCAGTATTTTTTGGTTAATAAAAAATCAAACAGGCCCCACGATGACCATATTTTTTTCCCTGAAATCTAAGATTATGCAAAGCATTTCCATCTCCTTCTTTATCTTCCGCAGCGCGTCTTAAAGTCTGCTGTTTTTTTAATAAATTGTACAGGTCATCGTAAAAGTGT